TAAACAGGTTGCAAATTATAATTTTAAGTTTCCATTAGTTTTATTTTGGGGTAATGTAAATGACTGGGTCATCCACTTTTGACATTTAGTAATTCTCCTTCACAATAAAATTCAGTTTCCTCTGCTTTGTGTTCCCTTAGAGCCCACCCACATTAACTGCAAAAAACATTTCAGCCAGTGCTGAAATGCTGCTTTCCGGATGGTTCACATTGTCATACACAAGCCCCTGAGACCTTATATAGAGAAAGTGTTTCATCCCAATTTTCATTGCTACATATAAACGAGCAAGAAGAGCTTTGATCTGTGGTTTAAACCAGCAGGATTAAGCTCCCGAGTTCACCATTGTCATTAAGTGGTGTGCAGGGAAGTGCATTCATTGGACAGACTTCAGTTTGAATCCTGATTCTTGCCAGTGGACCAGTCACTTAAACCCTCTTAGCTTTATTTTTCTCATCAGGAAAAACTTGAGGTTCTTATGAAATTAAATAAAATGATGTATATGAAAATACTGTGCATATGGAAGGTGTTTAATGAGATATTAATTAATTTCCCGTCTCTGAAGGCAGCCCGGGATAGAATATCCTAACTACACTGTATCTGGCATTGCCGGTTCAGTGATAGAATTCTCGCCTTCCGTGAGAGAGACACAGGTTCAATTCCCAGCGAGTACACTTCATGTACAGGCATCACCTGTCTGTCAGTGGTGACTGGCATGTTGCTATGATGCCTAACAGGCAAGATGGACTAGGAAGAAAGACTTGGTGGTCTACTCTCGAAAATCAGTCAGTGAAAACCCTATGGATCATAGCAGTCTGATCTGCAACGATCATGTGGATGGCTCAGGACCAGTCAGAGTTTCATTCCATTGAGCATAGTGTCTCCATGAGTTGGAGCTGTCTCAACGGCAGCTAATAACAACACCAACTCTATTGTAAGATCTAGGAAGTCGGGGACTCTGTCTGTACTGTGTGCCACTGCGTCACCAATGCTTAGCATAATACTTGGCCCATAGTTGATCGGTGTTCAATAAATTTTGGTTGAATATTTGAAGGTGAAGAATTTCAGATTTAAAAGATTTCATCAGTTTTGATGGCCATAGAGGGGAGATATGAAATGACCCCTAAATGTAAGCTCTAATGCTAGAAGCCTGGTGTCACAGAAATGTATTTATCCAGCATTTGAACACCCTTACAGCTGAGGGATAATCCCAAGTGTGTGGAAGCCAGAGGGCAGATATTCTCTCTCCCTGCTTCCCGGCACCTAGAGTACCAATCTGTGGCCTAGACTTAGTCAATCAGATAATCCTCCAAACAGATACTCCTCCTTGGCGCTTAAAACCCTAGGGAGTAATGCAAAACTGTACAGCAGTCAAAGAATATTCCCAGAAAGTCAGAGGGAGTACCCACTGGTTTTAAGACAAGCAAGGAGCATTGTCGCCAGACCATTCCTGTGATGCAGCATTGGCTGTATTTTTGGCTGCCTGATTTTGGCTGCCTGACTTCCCTTGTTGTTGTTGTTAGCTACTATCTAGTTGGCCCTCAACTCGTGGTGACCCCATGCACAGCTGAACAAAACTCTGCTCTGCACCATGATGGTTGAGGATCAGACTGCTGTGATCCGTAGGGTTTTCACTGACTGATTTTGGAAGCAGGTCATCAGGCCTTTCTTCCTAGTCCATCTTAGTCTGGAAACTCCACTGAAACCTGTTCAGCAGCACAGCAACACACAAGCCTCCACTAATAGACAGGTGGTGGCTACATACGAGGTACATTGGCCAGGAATTCAACCCAGGTCTCCTGCATGGAAGGCAAGAATTCCATCACTAAACCACCACCGCCCCCAGTCCCTCTTAGCTGCTGTTTATTTTCTAAGCTCAGATTCCCTAACCTTCCTGTCGCTTCTATGAACTACCTACTAGTTTTCCAATAAATTCCTTTTCTTGCAAGTCAGCCAAATCAGTTTCTATCATTTGCATCCAATGATTCAGGTCCTAGTGCACTGTTCCTGCTCCTGGCCTTTGTGGTCTGCCCATTAAGCACTGTTTCTGGGGATACATTTCAAAGTTACGTTTGTATAGTTCTTAAAATCTCTTCTTCAAGATGGTCAATGTTTTTCTTTATTCTTTTACATCCTTAACTACTCTATAAAAATGTGTTATATGTTTTTTAATGAAGCTGAATTATATTCCCTCTGATCACTCTTGGTCTCTTCCATTGTTTTCATCTTTCCCAACCCCTAACATTCATTTCTTGCTCATCTACTCTTTTTATTTGATACTTATTTCCCCTTAGGGTTTGTGTGATTTAATAAGCCTTTATTGTGCACAAACTACATGCTAGATAGCAATACAAATATGAATAAGAGTCATCTCCTGTGTGAAAATAATAGTCGAATGAATAAAATGTAAAGCAGATTAATGCCAAGACAGGCAACATAAGCCATCACATTTTCAAAGCAGGAGGAAAATATTACAGACATAAAAGTTGGGATTTGATTCTGTACGACATCTGACATCTCTTTCTATAACGATGAGACTCATTCATTCTATTAGTGTTCACCGTGCTCCCAGTACATGCTAGGGTCTTGGGTAATCGCTCCTTATTTCTCTCCTGTAGGATGAATAAACTTCTTTCTCAGGGTGTGAGGCTATCTGCGTGTGTGTGTGTGTGTGTGTGTGTGTGTGTGTGTGTAACAACACCTACTTTGTGATACATGAACGACTGGAGAGACATTCTAGAATGTACAACTAGAGTTAACAATAAGCTACTCTGCCAAATGTCACACATTCACAGCTTTCTTTGAACTGCTTTTTTTTTTTTTTACTCATGTTACTGCTCCTCCAGAGAAACCATGCAAGCACCTTTTTTCTCTGACATTTTCACTGCTGCCTATAATCTATCATTACAAAGAGAGGCCTTAAAAATGGCACTCAGGGGAGATATTATTTCCTTTCCATTTCTCTCTCAGAAAGAGCAATTTATAACAGGGAGGGAAAAAATTGCATTTAGGTTAAAGTAATATAAATAACAAGAAAAAATCTGCTTCTTCCCCCTTTGAGATTCTAAGCCTCATAAGGATCCTTGGTTTTAAAAAAGACGGCCATCCTTTGGCCTGCACTAAGCATTGATATTATATGCCTGGTAATAAAGCCAGAGGATTTTTAATGAGAGCTATCAAAGGGAAAGAATGGCCGAGACAGGTATCTTTGGTGACCGAAAATCACAAGATCATAAATACAACTTGCAAGGTTAGTCTCATGGTTAGCTAGTACTTTAAATTTGTGATTCCCCTGACTATATGGGTTGACAGGGAAACTATTGACTTTTTCTCAGACAAGACTGCAGTGTTCAAAATTATGACCTGAAAAAGGAAATGGCCTGAATTCCTAAGGTAACCAAAAAGCCCAGCAGAAATGGATTAAAACATTGCTAGTGAGTGAATGTAAGACACATGTAGTGGATAAGAGTGGAGAACAGAGAAAAAGCCATTTTCTCCTTTCAAAATTTAATTTTGCCGTTTGAAACAGCCCTGTGGTTTTTATTTCATTAACCAAATAAAATTTGCATTGATCATATATAAGTTTCATCAACTTTCCCCACATTTGTTGTTAGCTGCTATCAAGTCGTACCCAGCTTATGGCAACCCCATGCACAGTGAAACAAAACGCTGCCCATCCCCATGATCAGTTGTGGATCAGACCCTTGTGATCCATAGTGTTTTCATTGACTATTTTTCAGAAGTAAATCACCAGGCCTTCCTTCTCAGTCTGTGTTAGCCTGAAAGCTCTGTTGAAATCTGTTCAGCATCACAGCAACACAAGCATCCACTGACAGATCGGTAGTGACTGCACATGAGGTGCATTGGGTGGGAATCGAACCTGTGTCTCCTGTATGGAAGGTGAGAATTCTACCACTGAACCACCAGTCCGCTCCTCCCCATATTTAACTGGTGTTTCAGATAACTATTTAGCTAACGCTTATTACTCGCCATAGCTTAATAGTTTTACTGCTAATGCCAAGAGTATAAACTTTAAATTTTATTAAAATTTTGAGCTCTTTAGGTGCACCCAACCTCATTTTTTTTCTCAGGCTAAGAGTCTGAGTAGCTGCTAATTTAAATAGCTAGCAAAAGCCTTTGAACAGCGACATGCTGTGCCAATCTCTATGTAACTACAGATGCAGCTGCAGAAGGGGGGGCCAAGGGTTTGTTCTGTTTCCTTCCATTTGAGAAAACTGTTTATATACTGGTCTTGAAGCTTCTTTTTCCAACTTTTTACAGAGTTTAAAGGGGCCTGCTCACTGGCTGGGCACAAGGAGCTTTACAGTAGTATCACTCATAAGTCTGCGGTTTTCCAAGAGTCAAGGATATTATTTCTCCTGGATGAACAAGAGGCTTTTGCCCATGTCACATTCTCCCTCTCTTTCTTTTTAATGTGAGTTGACACCCTGAATTCAGAGGGAAGCTTCACAATTAGAAGAGGGAGAGGGAACCATAGCATCTCTGCTCACAGCCCCCTTAGCTACTCTAATTAGGATTCCCTTATTCCATTTCTTTTACTTGGGAGAGGACAGGGGGCTTTTTAATTGGGGATATTAGAAGTTCTCTTTACACAATGACACCCTCTGCTAAGTGAAGGCTCCAGCGAAGCCATGCCCACTCTGCAATTACTTCTTGCAATTCTGAGGAATAATGGTATCTTGTCTCATTTAAAAATAAATCTGAGGCTTATTCCTTATTGCTTTCTCAGTTCTGCCTACTCACATGAATTTTTTCTTGCCAATTAAGCAAACTTTCCATTATTTAAGGAGGTGGTTTTGATCGTAATTGTCCCCTGATAAGACATATTAAACTGGATTTCATTTGCCCACAGCCCCTTTTTTTCCAGATACAAGGCTAATTTAAATGAGCTAAGATCTCTGCATCTTGAGGTTACTCTTGGGTGAAATTGTGAAGCTTTGGAATTTCCTAAGCCATGTTCTGTTTAGTGTCACAGAACTCACCTAAAATAACCCGCACGTTCAATGTTCGCAGTTTCTCAGAATCACTCTCTCTTAAGAGAACAGATGTAGGTTTGTATTTATGACCTGTTCCAAGAAGTGAAATTAAACATTTAGACGATAAGCAAGCACATTCTTAATACGTATTCCTCATGCTGATTCAAAGGATTACCAAGGGAAATGGGCCATTGACAACAGGGCCTGGAGAAACAAGAGCTTTTCCTTATTATTTTCCATTAACAAACACAGGTTCTTTCTAAGACCAGTGGCTTCACCACTGTCATTAATGCCATGATGCCATCTCACCTAATGCATGCTTAATATTTACTAATAGTTAATGTCATAACTAGAGCTCTGATGACCCAGTGGTTCAGAGCTTGCCTACTAACCAAAAGACTGACAGTTTGAATTCGCCAGCCACTTCTTAGTAACCCTATGGGGCAGTTCTGTGCTGTCCTATAGGGTCGCTAGAGTCAGAATCGACTCAACGGTGGTGGGTTTGGTTTGGTTTTGAGGATGTCCTAACTGGTGTGGCATTTGTCATTACTTTATATGCTTGGATTTGCAAGGTAAGCCTTTAAAAGCCACTAAGCCTACTATTTGAGTAGATGTTCATGAGAACTTAAAGGGACTCCCCAATATTGATCTTGTTCTCAATATTTTTTCCATCTGACGTTCTTTTCCCTAATAAATATTTGTATAGAAAAGTGGGTTAAAAAACCCAAAACTATGTGCTATTTGCAAATAACACACATTTATTTAAAATAATATAATTTTCAAAACTAGAAAGACCCTAGGTCTTGGTTCTGACATTTTACTAGCTGTATAACATTTTGGACAAAACACTTAACCTGTCTTGGGTTTTTTTTTCTCAACTATAAAATGAAAATAATAGCACATACTCTATTTACTTTGAGAATCTAGTGGAAAGCTTATGAAAGTGCTCTGAAAATCTTTATCCTACAAATACATAATATTAATGATATTATTAACTGATGTATTATGTACTAAGGTATACATGACAAACCTTGATACGAAACTGCTCTCAGAACTATCTGCAACAATTTCTTAGCCAAAAGAATAGCACCTTCTTCCCTCCAACCTAGAGGCAACCACTTGTTCCACCTACTGCAATGACTAACACTGCCTTGCCTGGTACAGAACATAAGAGCCTTGGGAAATAATGCAACAAACACAGTACTACTGCCCGTTATTAAGAGCTATGCAGCAGACACTGTGCTAAACTTCTTAAGCAACCTCTTTAGTTCAGTGGTTACCTCAGCCCTAGTTACAGAGGATTACCCTTCTTTTACTACACTCAGATATCGTAACTTGCTCAAAGTCACACAGCTAGTAAGTGGTAGTGCGAGAATTCTGATGTAAGCCCATTTGTCTCCAAAGCCTTTCTTACAATCATACATTTTACACTGTCTTCCAGAGACCGATTACTCATACTATGCACTGTCCAGCAGGCCTGATAGTCAGCCAGTATATGCATGGATACACACCAGCAGGGTTGAGCCAGTAGTTTGCAGTCAGTGTCCATCCTGGTAGGTGGGTGCCTATGTCATACCTGTTGTTACTGATTTTTAATATCACCTCTATCAATAATACATTTTAGCCCTACCCTGCCATCAATCTACTGACATTGTACAATTATTAAAGATTGTCTTCAACCACATGCATAACCTAGAACCACTCCTGCTTAAGATCCTCACCTCTGAAGCTACCGCCCCTCCTGTTCTTCCACCTCTCTTCTACCCTCGCTTCCACTAAGCCTCTGCTTCACTGCATGTCAACCTCCAGTCCATCAACTCCATCCTACTCACCCAGTCTTTCTTTTCATCTTTATTCACTTGTCTGGGTGGTAGAAAGACACAAGAAGCTCTTTGGATGCTGGCACTGTACCTTACTTATGCTTATATTCCTTGGGGTACCTAAAATTGCCACTTACACACAGTGTTGTTTTTGTTAGCTGCCGTTGAGTCAGTCCCTGACTCATGGCAACCTCATCTACAATAAGATTGAACTGTTGTGATCCATAGGGTTTTCACTAGTTGATTTTTCAGAAGTACATTGCCAGGCCTTTCTTCCTAGCCTGTCTTAGTCTAGACATTCTCTGAAATCTGTTCATGGATATATCATATTCATGGATATAATTTCTTTTTTTAGTTCAATTCGACATATATTGAGCAAGCCTCCATTAACAGACAGATGATTGCTATGAGTAGATGCTCAATACACTAAATATACTAAAAATACACTAAATATATATATAAACATACTAAAAAAGAAATTATATCCATGAATAAAATTAGGATTTCCTTGACACTAAATAGACTATCCCAAATGATGGATTTAGTTCTAAATACTTACTCTGCCATTTCTGCATTCTCCTATGGCCTTCAAGTATTTTATGGATAACGAAGATGATCAATAATATAAAAATTAATAGAACTAAAACATACCAAGTGATCTTCATGGAACAAATGACACCTGTAAAGAAAAAAATACTGTGAAAATACAATAAAATGATGTAACAGATAAGACGCAATGTGAGGGTATAGCTGGGTGCCATTACATATTCTGCCCTTCACTGAAAACCTGGGTATATAAACATAGACACTACAGGGTCGCTTGCCCTCCTGAATACTTTCCTGGTGTATTAAATGAGGAAATTTGACTAGGTGACTTCTAGGAATCTGTTTAGTTCCAAAAATTCTAGTATCAGTTTCACTTACAGGTTATCTTGATATCAGTTTCATCGTCATTGCTGTCCCTAGGTTAAGACAGCAGAAACCCAGAGTCAATCCCAGTTTGTACAATGGAATGGGTTTAAGGAGAATAGGGAAGAGAGCGAGGAGGTAGAAGGAGAGGGCAGGATTGAGGCATGTAAGTGGCCAGGGCAGATCAGAATCCCTTTCTGCAAGGTAATAGAAGGTTCAGTGGCTTGCATTCCAATAATCACATCAAGTGCACGCATTAATTAAGCATACAATTACCCTGGCCTACATTTAGTAATGTTCATCTATAATAATTTACTTTGTCTTCTTGAGCTAACTTTTGAAATCTTCTGTTCAGCTCTTTTACTTCATCATTTCTTATATTCACTTTAGCTACTCTACGTTCAAAAGCAAGTTTCAGAGTCTCTTCTGACATCCATTTTGGTCTTTTCTTTCATTCCTGTCTTTCCAATGACCTTTTGCTTTCTTCATGTATGATGTCTTTGATGTCTTCCCATAACTCATCTGGTCTTCGGTCACTAGTGCTCAATGCATCAAATCCATTCTTCAGAAAGTCTCTAAATTCAGGTGGGATATACTCAAGGAAGTACTTTGGCTCTCATGGACTTGTTTTAATTTTCTTCAGCTTTAACTTGAACTTGCATATGAGCAGTTGATGGTCTGTTCCGCAGTCGGCCGCTGGCCTTTTTCTGACTGATGATATTGAGCTTCTCTATCATCTGTTTGCACAGATGTTGTTGATTTGATTCTTGTGTATTCCATCCGGCAAGGTCCACGTGTATACTCACCATTTATGTTGTTAAAAAAAGATATTTCCAATGGTCATTGGTCTTGCAAAATTCTATCACGCAATCTCCAGTGTCATTTTTATCACAAAGACCATATTTTCCAACTACTGAACCTTCTTTCTTTCCAACTTTTGCATTCCAATTACCAGTAATTATCAATGCATCTTGTATTATAATGAAATGTGCAAAGACCTGTAATTAGAAAATCAAAAGAGAAGAATATGCCTGGTATTTGTCCAGCTGAAAGAACTGAAGGAAAAATTCAGGCCTCAGGTTGCAATTGAAGGATTCTACAGGCAAAATATTGAATGATGCAGGAAGCATCAAAAGAAGATGGAAGGAATGCACAGTCACTGTACCAAAAAGAATTGGCTGACATTTAACCATTTCAAGGGGTAGCTTATGATAAAGAACCAATAGTTTTGAAGGAAGAAGTTCAAGCTGTGCTAAAGCCATTGGTGAGAAACAAGTCTTCAGGAATTGACAGAATAGCAATTGAGATATTTCAACAAATGGATGCAATGCTGGAAGTGCTCACTCATCTATGTCAACAAATTTGGAAGATAGCTACTTGGCCAACTGACTGGAAGAGATCCATATTTGTGCCCATTCCAAAGAAAGGTGATCCAACAGAATGTGGAAATTATCAAACAATATCATTAATATCACACATAAGTAAAATTTTCCTGAAGATCATTCAAAAATTGTTGCACAAAGCTAAGAAGTTTCCTCAATACAATCAAATACTTTGAGAGACAGAGTAGCAGGCAGGTGGGGTCTGGGGACCATGCTTTCAGGGAACATCTATGTCAATTGGCATAACAAAGCTTATTAAGAAGATGTTCTGCATCCTACTTTGGTGAGTGGCGTCTCGGGTCTTGAAAGCTTGCAAGCAGCCATTTAAGATGCATCAATTGGTCCCAATCACCTGGAGTAAAGAAGAACGAAGAACACCAAAGACACAAGGAAAGTATTGGTCCAAGAGACAGAATGGGCCACATAAACCAGAGACTTCATCAGCCTGAGACCAGAAGAACTAGATGGTGCCCAGCTACTGCCAATGAACGTCCTGACAGGGAACACAACAGAGAGTCCCTGATGGAGCAGTAGAACGATGGGATGCCGAAATCAAATTCTAGTAAGAAGACCAAACTTAATGGTCTAACTAAGACTGGAGGCACCCCGG